ATTCTATGTGATTATGATTTAGGAAGAGGCAGATTTTAACTTTGTAAATATAAAAAATACAGTTCAGACTATAAGTATCTTTAAAAACTAAAGACATTTTCTCCTGTGCAGGGGAAAACCCCCCCAGCAGCTTCAGATGTCATAAAGGTATCAGACGTAGGTTAGAGTTAAGTTTGAGACAAGCAAAGCATTTACTCTGACCCACTAAGTATGAATTTAACTTAGAACCCAAGTTATCTGTCAGAGCTTGTTTCCCAGTTTCTCCTCTATTTGTTACCCCTCCTTTTCACCCTAGTTTTTCCTCAGAATGCTACTGACACCTTTCACAAGCCCATCCCCGTTTGGGTTTCACCTTCCCTCAGCGGCCTCACAGATTCAACAAGACAGTCTGGGTAGTGCTTGGGGCCTGCGGGTTCCATAAAGCTGACTAGGTATTTAAAGTGACATTTGCATCCTACCTGAAGTGGGCTGATTTATGAGTCAGTGTTTGGTAAGTACTCAGAGAGCCTCATATCAAATGCAAGATCCAAGTGCGCCGTGTGATTACTTCACTTTATTTGTGTTTTATGAAGCACCTGGTACCATGACAATATTCACTAAGTAAATAACAAATGAAGTGAAACACGCTTCCTTCACCATTTTAATAATGTACTATTCGTGCATTTTTTTGGAACAAAGAATCATTGTAGTATGTTGCTCTGCCAATATGAGGCTGATATCTTATTGCAAGCAAAAATAAAGAGATAAAATAAAGACACAGGAAAACTGATAAAATTTCTTTTCAGAGTAAAAGAAAGCAAGTTAATAATATAAAATATGATAATTCAGGAAATAGAATTAGTACAATTAACACAAATATGAATGTAGGTCCCTTGATTTCTCTATACTTGCCCCCATTATAAAATAATACCCACATGTCCAGAGTAAAATTTGAATTCAAGTTTTTTAATTAATTCCATTTTTAAAACAAATCCATTGCTATTCTCTGGATGATTCTGTCCATAGGAAAGGCTGACAGAGACGTTTAACACAGCAGGACGATTGCCAGCCATGTCTAGTGGGAATTGAGCTACCAAATATTTCCCCCAAATTATAGAAAATTACCATTTGTGAGTCTACATTGTATTTAGCTTCTTAATTTAGGATTAAACATCTGTAACTTATTGTTAGGATATCCGGAGAGTTTGCAAAACTCTGTAATATGAATATTGTCTCATTCTTGGTATTTTCAAAGAAAGTTGTTTTGGCCCCTTTGTGAAGATTTGCTGATGGCCAAAAGAACCAGTATACAATTCTAGAGTGAAAACACTGAGATCTTCTGCAATGTAATGTTGACATATTGTTACCCCAATTTGCTACCAGCTGACCAAGGACCCAGGTGGTGGTTGCCCTTCAGACTAGCTCACACAGCCTAGCAGTGATCCTGTGGGACAGAGAGAGGGGGCAAACCTGATCTCTTGCTCCTCTGGCTTTGGCTGAAGACCAAGATATCAATTCTGCTAATAATACAGTCTTAGAAGAATTTAGAAATGGACATGATCTCCTCCTGCCCGTCTAGGCTTCCCCAGTAACACTTGTATTGTACAGTATGGACATGTGATCTTTTAATGACTAAATATAGCTGAGGGGCTTAAGGTTTCTGAAAGATCAAGGGAAATGTAGTAGAACTTAAATTGTGTGTTTTTAGCCTTTTCAACTTAGTTTCAGTTCTGTTTCTTAAAAATAAGATAAAAAAGAATTCTCCCCAAATGCAAAAGTTGAGCCATGAAAGCTAGAAAAGAGGATATTAATTCATGAAAAAGGTGTTCTGGCTTAGAGAATAGTGTGGGTAAAGCAAAGAAGTGGAGAAGGGTGCGGTGTGCGTGGATGTTGGTCAGGGTTCCTCAGTGGCCCTAGAGTTGCAGATGAAGCTAGAGTAGTTTTGCAAAATCGTATTCTCCCAAATAATCAGCATTGAAGTTATTGCTCCTAGAAGCCTTCTCTGACCTCCAACACTGGACTGAGTGTCTCTTTTCTGCTCATGGGACCCTCTGCCCTTACCCCAGAGTAGTGCTTCATGTAATGTATTCATTTACCTGTTCTTATTTGACTTCCTCTTTCATTTGAAGCTCCTTACAGAAGACACATTGTCTTGACCACTTTTGTCTTCTTAATGTCCTGGACAGTCCTTGGTAGGCACCTAATAAATATTGCAAGCTCTTCCTTAAAAAACTGCCTTTCAAATGTTTAAAAAATTTTAAAAGTCCATACACTAAACTAGACTGGATAATTGTTTTAAAGGCATAAAGTAACACGTTGATAGTCAATGTGGATATATTTTGTAATTAAACTACTAAAAATAAAAGTTACTCTAGATCATCATACAAAGAACAGAATTCAATACCGAGTAAGTACCCTTTTGGATCTAGTCAATGGATTTATCTGTCAAATTGCAAAAGATCCTCTTTATAAAGGAATTTCATTTATAAGACCACTGACCAGAATAAGGGACCATTTGAGTAGCAGTGAAAGAGAGGGTAGAGCCCTTATAATCTGCTAGGGAAAGACTATGTTGGAGAGAACTCTGGACTTGAACTCACAGAACATGGGACCTAGCTCTAGGAATTGCTGTGTGAACCTGAGCAAGCTACTTAAAGTCTCTGATCTTCAATTTCACATTGGATACTCAGAACCATAATACCAGTTCTGCTTATTTTGCAGAGTTGTGAAGATAAGATAATGTAGAAATGAGATAAACTACAAAGAATTCCCCCTTCTTCTTAATCATAATGCTGTAAGAAATAATGTTGAATTGATGTCTTGAATCTTCAGACGTCTTTTGTTCACCAGTTGAAAAACATACCAGACCTTAGGACTTTTGATTTGATATTTAATCCATTGATTGTCCCCTACTGCCTCTTTCTAATCTGACAAGGAAAAGAATACATAACACCAGCAGTGGAATGTAGGGTTGTAAAAGTTTGTCCTTGGCAGGATACTTTATATCCTCTGGTGTTTAACACCAAACCCTGGAGTCAGATTCCGTTTCCAGGTAGTTTTCATGTACAGCTCACTGATAGCTGCATGCAAATATCCAGTGACAGGTTCTGGCCCCGGTGAGGCGAGTGCTGGCAGGACAGATGAGCACTGCTCTCCAATGCATTTTCCTGTTCTCTGTTCTTTTCCAGGCTGTCAGGGGTTGGCCCTAGCCAGCATGTTGAAAGGCCTGGCCAGTATTCCTTCCAGGCTGTTCAGATGGGTCTGGAGGGCAGATTGGCGTGTTTACCACTCCTGTGTCTACATGGACCATTCTGACAACATGTAAACCTAAGAGGGTTTTTTCACTCCCTGGTGGCCTTTTATCTTGGTTTATGACAAGTTTATTATCTTTGATCTACCAAGCCCAGAGAGCAGAGGATGGGTGTTTGGTTTCATATGCCAGGTACCACTGACTTTAATTACCTTCTTGAAATTAGTCCAGCACTCCGGAGTGAGGGACTGAAGTCTCAGATCACTTCATGGTTTGGACAATCTCTAAAACCACAATGTGCATATATAACTTAGCTATTCAGTATTTGTCAAGAAAAGGTTGTATTTTGTAGAGCTGTGACTTTCTGATATGCTCCATTTAAAGTTAGTTTTCTTTCTTTCTTTTTTTTTTTTTTTGTAGATTTATAATTCTGACAGGGAAATAGCCATTACATGTAAGATGTACAGCCAGTCAGGGATGGAGCTCATGCTGTATAATTTCTTCATATGCTCTGCTGAATTTGGTGTTACATGAATCCCCTTTTTGGCTTGGTGATAGAATGGGTAGATGGGAAGATTGGAAGAACAATGTAGATCATGAATCACTTATATCACATTTAATAGCATTGAGAGTGAAGCCTCCATTTTAAATATTTCTCCCTAAAATTCTATCTTATTAATTGGGTCCTACCTAGTGTGTCATTCAGTTTGCACAACAGTTCAGTCAATCGTGGAATTAGAGCTTGAAAGAAAGACACAGAGCCCTCCAGCCGGCCAGCCAGCCAGCACTTTTTGTACAAAAGGCACTATGGTAGGCATTGGAGATACCAGGTCTCATGAACTTACAGAACAGAGCAGTGATTTTTAATCTCTCTTATACTTTTTCAAGAATCTGATGAAAAGTAGGATTTTCTCTCTGAGGAAAAGAACAACTGCAAAGGATTCACCACCGATCCATGGTTTAAGAACTTCTATTAAGGGAGGGACGGAAAAGACCAGTCCAGCATGTGCAATGAGTACATTGGTGATGGATTTTCCCTGTCTTATGAGTTTTTGTGCTGGGTGATGGAGAGGGCAACGAAATCAAAGGCACACTAGCAAGAGGGCTGGCTTTGGGTTTAGAAGTTTAGGATTTAGTAGTTCCTGGTTCAACACTTCCTAGTTGTGTTAAATTGGCACATTGGCTAACCTTTCCAGACTCCTTGTCTTAATTTGTAAAATTGAAATAGTGATATCTACCCCCCCAGCGGGGCCAGGGAGGGCCCCCTGTGGTTGAGAGGAGTAAGCGGTAGGGTGGGTAAAACTGTAAAGCTCTTCATAAACTGTTAAGTCCCAGAAACTTAGAGTATTGCTACAATTCTACTCACAAAAACAGATGTTTGAGAAAGTGATAAAACTTGGTTAAAAAGGAGACATCCCACTGTGACCAGGGGCTTCCTGTGGTTCCTGCTGATGGGAGGGCGATGGATCGTGGACCGCCACCCAGAACTGAGTGTGCAGGCCCTCTCGGGGAAAGAAGCCAAAACCTTGATTTTGGAGACTGATCCAGTTAAGGAACCACTTTCTAAAGACTGCATCTGGCAAGAGAGCCAGATTTATATATTCAGAGAAAATGATGATTAAAAAAAGTTGTAAGCCAGTGGTTTGATTTTTGCACATGCATTTATTTACTTTGATGTGGGTTTTAAAAAAAAAACACAGGGGACTAGAAAAACATTGTCAACTGCCCGCTCCTATCCAAATCAGCCATTTCCTTTTTCTTTATCTCTTAGGCTCCAACTGAGAAGCAGCCAGGCATGGTATGAGGTGGTGGAGGTGGAGACCAGAGCACTGGTCTTGGAAACGATTCCTGGATGTGAGTGTCGACTCTGCCTCCATTGAGTAACTGAGTAGCTCCGGGGCAGTGGGCTGTCTAATCAAGGCCTCAGAGTCTCCATCAGGAGACAGGATGGTATTATCCAGTTAGCGTATCTCGCTGGGTTGTTGTGCAGCTCTAAAAAACATTTCTTTATAAACTGTAAAGATCCAGCCACATAAAATACTATTAACATTACATGCATAAATGCCCACGTTTGTCAATGAAATGACCAAAAGGGAGCAAAAACCCACCTTATTACATTTTTACATATTGGCTGCCTAATTTTGCTTCTTAATTAAGCACATGTCAGGATGATGGGCTAATTATGTTCATGAAGGATGTGCCTAGAAATTTCTGATCAAAATATATTCAGGAGCTTTGTCCTCCCTGCAGAAAAGAAGGCAGTCTTCTACTCGCGGTTTTCACATTTTATATTTAGCAAAAGGAACTTCAAAAAATAATGTTGGTTTTCAAGAAGCTATCAAATACATTCTATTTTATGCAGGAACAAATACCAAACCCTCCTCCCTCCACACTTGCGCCCATATGCTCTTTCTCAATTCTTTCTTTCCCTCCCCCTACTTTCCATTCTATTCCCTTCCTCTCCCACCTGCCTGTTCATTGTGTATTTACAGTTCAGAAGTGGCAGCTGCCTGCACAGTGAATCCCAGTGGATCAATGGTGGCACTGTATCCATAGGAACCTGAAAAGAACCAGGCAGCCCCTTCTTTCCAGCTCGTGTGTTTGTGGTGTGGCCAGACTGGCTGATTAGGGGTTTTGCTCCAGTGATGACACATAGGAATAGACAGGACAGAAACTGCCAGCTTTGATCCAGACACTGGGATGTAAAGCTATGTGCAGCCAGGGTCATTATGGGCAGTTGCAGCTCACTTCCTGTTTACCTGCTCCTGTGGTCCTGACTCTTGCTCCAAGCTCAACACCCAGCTCCCTGCCAGGTTCAACATGTCAGGTACACTAAAAAGACAACCTTTGAACTGGGAGCTTAGCCTTTCATTCAACACACAATGATGAAACATTTATAATATATTAGATACTGTGTTAAGTAGTAGAGGAAAAACCCAAGTAAATTAGATATGGCTTTAACTTTTAAGAAGTTGACAGTCTAGCAAGAAAGACAAAAATGTACCCCAATAATTATGTGACAAGTCCATTTCAGGGCCAAGAGATGTGGGGACCACAGGAGAAACTGGTGAGTTTCCCATAGGTTTGGGAAGGCCTGAGAGAGAAGATGAGTTTTGACCTGGGCCGTAGAAGATGACCTTGATTTTGCCACATGGAGGAGACAAAAATGTCATTCCAGGCATAGAAATCTGCACGAAGAGAGGCAGGGCAACATGTGATGCTCAGAAAATGGTGAGTGTCCGATATGTCTGCAGTAGAGTATCCAGGTGGGGGCAGGGAGGGCAGATGAGGGAAGAGTGGGCATAGGACAGGTTGTAAAGGGGCTTTGAGAACAATGCTATGAAGACTGGATGTAAAAAGGAGCCAAGGCAGATACAATATAGTTTGAAAATCTCTAAACCTGCAGAAAGTCCACTGCCCCTGTTTAAGCTGGTGAGTGATAGATAATATTAGATTTGTGTTTTGGATGGGAGCTTTGGGGCAGTATGGAAAATGGGTGGGTGGGTAAGGATGGGGAAGCTGTAGGAGGCAGGGAGTCCTGTTGGAAAGTGGTTGGAAGCTACCAGCCAGAAGTAAAGAAGATCCCAAGTAAGCAGAGGCGGGAGGACAGAAGAGCAGGCTGGTGGGGCACTGGGCTCGGCAGGGCCCCGGGGATCAGTTGGGTAGAATGGTTTGGGCAGTCAGTGGTGATGCTAACATAGGAACAGGGTGGGAAGACAGTGAGGTGGGGAACCCATGCGGGGATCCCGGGAGAAAGCTCCTGTAGATGGGAAACCATGTGACTCTACTTTCCACTGAAGACAGCGGCTCTCAGCCAGAACTTGAGTTCAACTGCTCTGAATTGGGGAGGGGCATGTTCAGCAGGCCTGTGTCCTGGGACTAACCTTTTAAGATATTTCAAAACAGCTATTTAGCCCTCCCTTAGCTTTCTCGTCACAGAATAAAACCATCTCAGCTTCTTTAATCTTCCCTCAAGGGCTTTAGATAACTTGGGTTGATTCTGTTTTCCCACATCCCACTTAAAATGCAAAGCCCCAGGCTAAAGACAACACACCAATCTTTCTCAAGTTATACATGTAATTATATAGTTTATGAGTGCTGTGCATACTTTATTAAAGATTACTGTAATTCCCACATTTAACACGTTATAGTTCTTAAACATCTGCTTCTACTGGAAAACAAAGAAAAAATTTACTTCACTATTTTTCATCTGCCCACTAAATGTTCACTTCCTTTCAACAGGGCATCAGCCATCCTGCCCCTCAGCTCTTGCTGCCCCACCTCTGGCATCTACAGCAGGATTCCTCTTCTCATGACCCCTGGTGCACAATTGCTGTTTCGGAGAAGTTCCGGAATCTGATTACATCAAGGAGACTCCTTTGACAAAACATAAAACGAGGGGAAAACCACATCCTGTCTGGAGTACCCTGGTGGTCCGGCAAGATCTTCTAGGAGGTCCAAAGGCTGATTTTTGCCCTTGAAGAAGTGCTGCGCTAGTATCTTGGAGAAGTTTTCTGTCAACTCTGAGAAAAAAATAGCCTGGGAAGAGCTGTTTACTCTGAAGCCATCGCAGGTAGGTGGCATTGACTGAACAGTACGTCCTTTAGTCATTTTAGGTCTTCTGAATGGAAAAGACATGGCAATTTTAGGAAGCCCTTGAGTTGTAGTCATAAGTATCCACAGAAGTATTCATTGCCCCTGAGAATCCTTAACCATTAATTGATCCCTGCAGGTTACAGCTTAGAGAACCCCCTTTCTGCCAGCAGGAGGGGTGCCTCACAGAGCCCTGGAAGGCCAGGATCTCTGTGAAGTTGCTCGCAACTGGTCATGCTGCCCCTCCCCCACTGGCTCCCGCTGCTGCCCTGGGTCTTACCCGCTCAGCAAGCCCAGGCTCCTTTCCTGGTGCCTTTCTCTTTGCTTTCTAGGATTCTTCATTGCCTTTACTCTCCTTCCCTCCAAGCAGCCTTTCCTAATTGAAGTCGCTCATCTAAACCACGGTACACAGAAACAATCTTTAAAATTCCCCCAAGGATGAAAAATAACGAGTATCGCTCTAGATGTGTAGGAGAAAAAATAATGCATTGGATGCAATGGATCTCTTAGGGAACAGAGGTTCAATTCTACCATGGAACTCGGTGTGAGAAAGGCTGTTTGGGCTTGTGGAAAGTTTTCTCAGCTGGGGGATGGAGAAGCTCTAGTTCCCTCAAACTTCTGTCACTGATGATATTTATCCCAAGTATGCTGATTACATTGGGGATCCTCTCTGATCTAAAACTTGCATTTTTGGAGATGTCTTCTAGACAAAAACTCTCAGTGAGTTCTTGCACGCAAACCCCTGTGCTATGCCCGTGTGTTTAGGGTAGCATGTAGAGTTGCATGAATCAGGGAATGTCAAAAGGAGGACATTATTAAGAGAGAAGATAGACTTGTAGACTTTTATCCTGTCATCTTTAAATGAAATCCTCAAATACTTCATGGTCTGGCAAGTGGGCAAGGAGTATGCTTGTCTCATACTTCAAAGGATTCATGTATTAAGGTAAATAATGCTAGCTGCTGGAGTGGATAACTCCCAAGTCCCAGAGGCTAAACAGAATAAAAATGTATTTCTTGCCCACATTGATATGGGAAGCTTTGAAGAACCTTTGTTTACCCAAACCCCAAGCACCCTAAGAAGAGTGATAGGGCCGTTTGGGAAAGCAAACAGCAGGATATTCACAAGGGCTAGGACTAGTGCCCCCGTGGTTAGAACTAATTTTCGCATTTAGCCTTTGTACTCTGCTTCTGCCATGTAGCTAGAACTAACTTCCGCATTCCGCTTCTGTATCTCACTTTGCTACATTGACAGGAAGACCCTGTAGACTATATAAACCCCAAGAATCCTTTGTTCGGTGCTCAGAATTTGTAGATTGACTCTTCTGGGCCTGTGCACGTTAATAAATCTTGTGCTCCAGAATCCCTCAGTGTCTGGTTGCTTCACTTTCCTGTAACAACATCGCAACCAGTGAGGATGTGGGTGTGGGTGTGACTATGTTCCATGCAAGCATTCAAGGACACAGGCCTTGCCCTTCTCTGTGTCTCCAGAGAGTCCTTTCCATTCTGCTGGTAGATGAGGAAGGAGCCAGGGTTACACATGGGAGATTCTCATGGGTCAGGCCTGGAAGAGACGCAGGACTCCTGGCCCACATTCCATTGGCCAGAACTCTCTGGCTCACTGCAAGGAGGCTGGAAATGTAGTCCTGCTGTAAGCCTGAGAAGGGAAAGAGAACATGGGTGGGTGGTTACCAAAGTTTGGATATTTGGGGCCCTAAGTTTTGGCTTGAAATGAGATACTAATGACTTGTGAAAATTTGCAACCTCATGAAGTAATAAGTTTGTCATCACTGGAATGTTGGTTGAAGGACAAATTCCTGCCACTTCTACTTTGGAGATCTGTAATTACCGTTCCCACGGAGCACAGCAGTTTTTCCCACCCTCCTGCTTCCACTTTCCCAAGATTGCTGACTGCCAGGTTCACGTCACTGAGAAGAGAGTGGGTCACATGGTGCTACCTCTTCTGTGGAATGTCTCTTTCATTTTTTTTTCTTTTCTAGTATAGCAAGATGGAATATAGATATTGAGGTGACCTTGTAGTCAGCAGACATGGTTTGAGGACCCCTCCCAGTGGATGGGGCTCCGTATGTGGAAAGGGTGAGCCTACCTATTACTGGATCAGGTGCCTCTGGGCCAAGAAGTTATCTTGAACGCCCTGACCATCATGGCTCTGTTGGTTGGGCGTCATCCCATAAATCGAGGAATCACTGGTTTGATTCCTGGTCAGGGCATATGCCTGGATTTTAGGCCTGGTTCCCAGTTTGGGTGCATGGAAGAGGCAACTGACTGATATTTCTCTCACACGTTGACATTTCTCACTCTCTCTTTCTCCCTACCTTCTCTGCTCTCTAAAATAAATAAATAAAATCTTAAAAACAGGGAAGTTATCATGAAGCCCTTTTGTATCAATAGACGAAAAGTAAGGATGAGCAGAATTATTGTAAAGGTAACATTCGGGAGTTCTAATATTTTGATGTAGGAAAGACATTAGGGCCCGTGGAGTCCAGCCCTGTGGTGCTACACATGAAGAAGAGCAGAGGGCCCCAGCCCTTGGTCCTTAGGGTTGTACCATCAGTGCTGGCAAAGCTCACTTAGAACTTCGGTTTCCAGACTCCTAGACCCAGGCTCCAGGCTGATCCTTCCACTAAGAAAATATCAGGATTTCTTTTTTTCGTTCTTTTTTTTGCATTTATTTATTTTTAATTGTTGTTCAACTACAGTTTTCTCTTTTATTACCCTCCCAGCCCCCCCCCCCCCCCCCCACACACAAGTGTTCCCCACCTCTTGGGATTCCTAGTGATATTACTCCAGTGGTCAAATGCCATGACCTTTTGGAACTGCTCAGAGAAGGAACCTGGAAGTCAGAACACCTGGGATGCGGTCCCACTTGGTACTCAGCTCTCTGTGGCCTTGGGCATGTGGAAGAGCCTTAGGTTTCTCATAAATGAACTGAAGAATTTGGATTAGATCAACAGTTTTCAAACCATATTTTAGAAGGGAGGCCTAGTATCTTCTGGAGCTCCCTCAGGAGCTGTTTTGGAGAGTAGGAATGAAGCTTGGCTATGTTAATGTCAGTTCCTTGTCAACTAGCGTTGTTGGAAGTTTCTGTGACTTCAAATGGTTTGAAAACCACTGACGTAGATAATCACTAAGGTTCTTTATGTCCTTAAAATTTTATGTCCCTTGGAGTGTACTTTATGGATCTCATTATGAAGACACTTTGTTTAGGGGCTGTCTAATTGATACAAACTCTGAAAAGTTAAAAAGCAAACCAGAGCTTCCCACTGCTATCACAATTGCATATTCAAATGCTATGAGAGTCAAGCAGATAGTATGAAAAGAGGAAAGATTATGTTATGGATTGGGTTGTGCGCCCTCCCAAATTCATATTGAAATACTAACCCCTAGTACCTCAGAATGTGACTATTGGAAGATGGGGTCTTTATAGAGGAAACTGAGTTAATATGAAGTCATGTGGGACCTAACCCAAAGACTAGTATCCAAAGACAGAGGACTTAAAAGAAACTAACACTGCTGATGCCTTGATCTTAGATTTCCAGGCTCTGGAACTGTGAGAACATACATTTGTGTTGTTTAAACCACCCAGTCAGTGGTATTTTGTTAGGGCAGCCCTAGCAGACTCACGTAGAACGTGTGTCCTGGTGTGTGGGTAGGTGTGCCTGTGTCTCTAAAACAGAAGGGAGGGTCGAACCTGTGGCAAGGTTGAATGAGCTTGTCCTGGCGGAAAAGGGAAGGTGCTCTCCTCAGCTCTGCTGATTGCTGCCACGTGGGGATCTTAGCTCCATATTGCCAGATGTTTTGAATTTTCAAGTGAAGCTAGAAATAATTTTTAATGTGAAATTTTCCAATTTTTAAGATATTGCCTGGACAAGCAAAACATGTCCGTGGGCTGAAGTTGACCTACAGACCACCAGTTTTGACCAGTGACCCCATGTTTAAAGAAACAATTTAGAATTAACCTCATAAGGCAGAGTATGACTGCAGCGTAAACATTAAGAGACAGAATCCTGGATCAGGAGCTAGGACACCTGGCTGGCTTTCAGGGCCAGACCCTCTTGCTGTTAGACCCTAAGCCAGACCTCAATTGCCATTCTTGTCAGAGGAGAAGACTGAACCTGGTCTCTGCCAGCCAAGGTGATGGGAGATTTCAGGTCCGAGTGCCTGCTCTGTAAACATCTGAGAATTATGGCTGAGATAATTACTCCCCACTTGGCTGTGTCTCTCTAAGAATTAGTGCCGGGTCTTCTAAAGTCTCAGAGGAAAAGATTGAAAGTAATTAAGTATTTAAGTACACAGAAGTGGATAAAAGAGCCTCATTCTTAGAAAAAGCTACTCGAACTGAACAAAGAAAAATGGAAAGAAGGAGAGGGAATTGCTCCAAATGAATGCCATTAAAAACATTGGCCGGAGAGGGTGAAAGCTTCATGCTGTCACGCTTGGCATTCTCATGGTACTCCTTTGCATTGGGGTTGTCACTGCAGGGTTTCCTTGGCTCCTTCTTTGTCCACATTTCAAGGACAAAGTGTGGCAGATGTAGACTAAGAAGAATTATTAAGCCCTTTCTATGTGCCAGGGACTTTACATATATAGGCATTCCCCTGCCCCCTCCCCCGCTCCCCGTAATACAAACTAACACTTCCCAGAAAATCTTGCAGTCTGCAAAACTTGGTATAAAAAATAATAGGATATATGAGGAAATTAGAACCAAAGTAGACCATTCAAATCTCATGCAACTCTGATCAGCCAAGACAATCACTGTTCCCTGGGGAGGTCACTTGGACCACTGTGGCAGCAGCTGAGTGTTTAGAAGCTGCATAGGGGGTATTAAAATGCTAAAAGCAATAGAGATGAGAAGCCGGTAACTCTTCAGCCAGACTGGGGCTGGCAGGGGTGGAAATGGACCTCTGAGTCAGTGGGGCGGGCCATTGTCCAGGTGGGCACAGGAGGCAGGGCAGCCTCACTCATACAAGCTGAGAGCTCACCACGCTGGGGTGCACCTACTGGGAGAGGTAGCCTTGGATGCAGGTGCTCATTTTTAAATTTCTGGAATACAACAGCCCTGGCTGGTGTAGCTCAGTGGATTGAGTGCGGGCCTGCGAACCAAAGTATCGCACTTCGATTCCCAGTCAGGGCACATGCCTGGGTTGCAGGCCAGTTCCCAGCATGGGAAGCACGAGAGGCAACCATACATTGGTATTTCTCTCTTTCCCTTCCCCTCTAAAGATTAAAATAATAAAATAAAATAAAATAAAATAAAATAAAATAAAATAAAATAAAATAAAATAAAATAAAATAAAACAAAATAAAACAAAATAAAATAAAATAAATAAAAATAATAAAATAAAATAAAATTTCTGGAATACAGCAAAAGGTTTCCTATGGATGATGCAGCAGCTGAGCCTCAGGCCTTTTTGATTTCCACTGATGATCATGGTTCTACTCCTACTGCTCTTGCTCCTCTTGCTTAGGAAAACCCACCCATGATATGATAAAAATCAATGCGCAATTTTCACATTGCAATGTGAAATCTTAATGTGCAATTACTTGCAGTCTAACGTGCAATTTTCACATTATACTGACAGCATTCCTCTATTACCAGTCACCGATGAGGTAATTTGTGTTGCAGAAGCACACCGGGTAGGAGAACAAAACGTAGTATGTTATTTAATTCTCACAGCTCCAGGAGGCATTGGAGCAGTGGTTCTCGCATCAGTGTGCACCAGAATTACCAGGGGGGCTGTTAAAACGTTGCTGGGTTTCATCCCCAGAGTTTCCAAGTCAGTAGAGGTCTCACGTAAAGTCCAAGAATTTGCATTTCTAAGAAATTTCTAGATGATACTGATACTGCTGGCCAGGGGGCCACATTTGAAAACTATAGTACCAGAGGGTACTGATAATTGGCAGGATTGTGTGACTTGCCCTAGATTGCTGCAGGAATGGCCCCAAGGTGGGCTACATCTTGGGCCCTTATAATAAGGTGACTGTGCCTGAGGAATTGACCTTTGATGATTGATAAACACTTAGGAATGTGCTGGGATTGGTTTCAGTGATTTCTCTTACCTTGTCAGCAGTAGGTGCAGAGCTCAGGCCATCAAAGGGAATGGGTTTCTGGGCAGCAGGAGCTACACATGGTTTTGGGGACCTGGGCCATCTATACTTCCAGCTGGGGGCATGCTGGCTTATTTATCATTTGCTACTTAAGGCTTATATCTAGTGCATGTCTCTTACAATCCCACCATCCCAAACACAACCTTTCTGTTTCCCATCCCACTGCACTGCCCCCTACAGACGTACCTGACGGGAGCCAGCTTCGGGGTCTAGCTATGACTTGCTTATGCTCCTGCTTAGTGTAGTCTTGCTTCAGGTTGATGTGAGACAAGTATGTGGTAGAATAGGAAGCCTGAGTCTGAGAGCTTCTCTGTCTGACTATCAGACCTCTTGAAGGTGGACTATTAATAAGGTTTTTAAATTTGTGGTGTGGTATAATCACAGAGGTGAGATTGTTGTCCATTATCATCATGACAAAAACCCCTCCCAACTGCAGAAAGCTGTGGTTTATTACTACATTACAGTTGTGAGATTGTAGACTGAATTAGGAATGGAAAAACTTGTTGCCTATGAATTACTAAGTGCCTCTAAATATTTCAGGAGGCATTCTATACCCTGGGAACATGACATGACAGAAAGAGCTTTGGAGTCAGGCAAAGTGTGATTTGAATCCAACCTCTGTCACTTACAGATTGTGTGACATTGGGAAAGTTCTTTGTCCAGTTGGAGGCTCGGTTTCCTCTTCCATGAAGTGGTGCGATAACACCTACTTCACTGGTTACAGGAGGATGACATGACACTCTGTCATTCAGATATGCCTCCTGAGGCTCAGACTAGTTGGTTTCTCTGAGGTTTTACAATGGACCCAAGAAGATTCTTACCCACTGTGTTGCATTCAACCTTAATCTTGCACAAACAAACAAGCCTCAGAAACCAAGCATCTCAAGAAGACAGAGTAGAAGCCTGCTGGAAACTGGCTTGGTTGAGGTTTATTGGTTCAAAGCATCATGAAACTTGCAGTTTTCCCTAACTTCTTACTAACATATATACAAAGACGTAAAAAAAAAATTTACAACAACACTGAAAAGGAACTCATCACCTAATTCCAGAATGATGAAGGAACCAACAATAATTATGAGGCAGAGGCAGAGGATGAAGACTAACCGCTGTAGCTTTCAGCTTGTGTCACACCCTGCTCTGCCTTCATGATTTGAAGACCTGGAGCCTGCAGCAAACAGAAGGCTTTGGTGCTGTAAGGGGAGCAGAGTGCTTCCCTTTCTGTTTCTCCCTCTCCTGCCTCCCGCCACCACCTGTCCCTCTGCCTCTGGTCCCCACACAGGCTTCCATCTTGTCGTGTTTAGGCCAACACCCAGATCTCAGAAAAGAAGTGACTAGGAAGCAGTGCAGTGCTGGCAATGGTCAAAGACCTGTTAGTGTAGCAGACGCACCCTAAGGGGACTCTGGAGAGTCAAACCCTGGAAAAATCCCCATCCTTTTGAGTGCAGGTGCTACATGTGACTGGCTTTTAGACAACAGAAAATGGCAAAAATGACAGATGTCACCCCTGTGATTATATTTCAGTGGGAGAGAGTCCTCTACTGGCCTTGAAGAAGGAAGTCCCGTGTGTGAGAAGCTCTGAGAGAGGGTGATTTGCAAGGAACTGTGGCACAGTGACCAGGTGAGAGTCAGTAAGAAGGTGGGATAAGGGTCCTCTAGCTACAAGGGACAAATTCTGCAAACTACTCTGTGAGCTTGTTAGAGGACCCGAGACCAGAAAGAACTGCAGCTTGCCAATGCCCTGCTGGCAGCCTTGTGAGCAGGGGACCCAGATAGGTCATCCCCAGACTCCTGACCCATGGAAACTGAGATAACAAATATGTGTTGTTTTAAGTTGCTAAGTTTCTGGTCCTTTGTACAGCAAAAGAAAAGTCATACAGAAAAGTAATGTTAGTTACAGTCTCTATGAAGTGAGTATTGTGTGAGAAATAAGCAGGGAGCAGTGGGCTGGGAATTGGAATGACGGAACATGGACTCTGAAACCAGAAACCAGAGAGTGGAGGTCAGAGGAAGGTGCCACTTCAAGCAGACAGGAGTAGAGTCCGTGGGAAGTGGAACTCTGCCTGGGAGTTGTGGACAGACACCTGTCCTGCCACTGTAAATCTGAGAAGGAGATTCTGTGCGGGTGACCAGACTTGGGAGGTGGATGGGGGGAGGAGAGAACAAAGAAAGTCAACTTTTCATAAGTTTGCCAAGAAACATCCAAGAATAATATGAAGAAATCTATAAAATCTTGATGGAGATTGAAAAGAATGCTCCCATGGAAAATATTAAATTCTTTTTCATTGCGAATTTAATGTCATTCTGGTAGAAGTCTTAATAGAGTTTTATTTAGAATTTGACAAGAGTCTAAATTACTTAGAAGTATGATGACTTACGAGCAGTTAATGGATTAAAAAAAAGAATAATGAGGGAGACTGTCTTATCACAAAATAAAACTTATCTTAAAGCTATAATCATTGTAATTATATGTTATCAATTCAGGAACAGGTAGACAGCTGATTTCACAGAAAAACAGAAGTCCAAAACAGACCTGAGAGCACATGTGTGTATACCCATGTGCATTTGTTTTGTTTTGATATATCATAAAGATTTATTTCTGACCACTGGGGAAAGGCTGGATAGTCAATAAAAGCTATTGGGGAAAGCGACCAATAAATTGGGACAAACTATTTAATATCATCACCTCATACATACCACACACAAAAATAAACTTTGATTCATTTGATATTTAATTGTAAAAGATAAACATTTATAGGTTAAATAGAATTTTGGTGTCCTTGGTGTTAGAAAAGGCGTTTCTAAGTCTGACACCGAAGCCAAGCACCTTAAAAGGAAGCGTTCTTACAGTTGATCACACAACCAACTAGAACTCTTCTGTACTGTAAAATTCCAAGCACTTGAAAGGCAAATAGATAAAGAATTTGTAACATAAACATCAAAGTGTCCTTAAGCTTTGAATTTTACAAATCAATTAGAAAAAGATAAGCAACTAATTGGGAAAAGGAGGCAATGCTAAAAGAGCCAACCACGCCCTGGCAGGTGTGGCTTAGTGGGTTGGGCGTTGCCCTGCAAACGAAAAATTCTCCAGTTCCATTTCCAGTCAGGGCACAAGCCTGGGTTGTGGACCAGGTCCCCGGAGGGGGCGTGTATGAGAGGAAACTGATTGATGTTTCTCTATCTCTCTCTCCCACTTACCCTCTTTCTAAAACAAAAAACAAACAAACAAAAAAAAACATAAAGAGGCAACCACAAAATACAGCAGCCCATGTGCTTGCTTTACTCTACATGCCTTTTTTGCCTTTCAGGAATGTCCATTTCTCAGGCTTCCAGGAGCAGCAAGGTTGGGGAGTAACTATGCTGCTGGCCACTATCACAGTAGTTTTCCAGAGATGTAAATTCTAATCACCTTTCTGTCGAGGTTCATTTTCTTCCACATTACCCAGCATTTTCTTCCATGTTAACCAGCAAATGTTCACACCTCCCTTTTATTAAATAATCTCACTAAATGGAGATTTTATATTTGTCCACACTTTCACCCTAATGAATGCATCCATTGCTAAATGCTATTTTATTAAAATAATTATTTTTCAAAATGAATATTTCTTTATCCTTTTATGATTGTGGAAGCAATTCATGCTTCTTGTAAAAGCATTCATGTTGTGTGGAAAGATGTAAAAAAGACAGTAAAAATACCCTTATCTTGGATCCAAAGATAACTCATATTTTCATTGTGTGTGTGTACACAAAAATGCAAGTACATTCATGCTAGCACCTGTTTATATTTTTACAAATATGAGGTCATATTTTTCCCACTTCAACAATGTATCATGGATATCTCCCCATGTTAATAGATGTCAATCTACCTCATCACTTTAAATAGATGCATATTACTCTTCAAAATGAAGGTGCTATAATTAAACCAGTTTTCTACAGATAAATTTTAAGATTTTCTAGAATTCATTATAAAGAGGTTCGTAAATGATTTCTTATGCATAATTTTGGCCATCAGTCTGGTTATTTCCTAAGAATAAGTTTCTAGAACAGATGATTAGTCAATTGTCCTGAGGGAAGGAAGAGCCAGACAAGATGATTTGATGCAATAACAAACTGTAACTATTGAGGAAGGGAAGAGATATCGAGTCTATCACAGTCACTATCAGTTGAATCTGTGCCCAGCCCAGCCCTATGAACACATGTTTCGGCTCCAGACAGAGAGAATTTCCCAGCACCAGCGCTTCCAGATCTTTCTAACAGTGGAGGCAAAGATATGGATGAGAGGAAAGAGCTGCTTCCCCCCTCAGGCTGACATGCAGTACTGTGCAAGTCCCAGGCTTAGTAATCTGAGCAGGGGGCTGCCCAAGTGACTGGATTTGTCTGTATGCACATGTGAGAACTCCAGGGGAACTGCCACAAACACAGAGCAGGGCTGTTTTCAGGGTACTTTTAAGGGCAGGTGCCAGTGAAGTTTGAGTCATTGCTCTTGCCTGATCCTATCTATACCCAGTGCCAGGTAAGACTTGGAGACATTCAGATTATAATGTAATTACATATGGATAAAAACTAACTCTGTGTGCCAAATGCCTCCGAAATATTGAATACACACGCTAGTCTATTTTTACACACATACATAAGTCTCATCCTGTCTGTCACTTTATAGTCTCGGGATGGTACCTTGGGGCATGTTCTTTCGTACCTGCTGTGTAGTCGTAGCAAACATAAGGACTCTTGGATTCTCTTCACAGCCACTTACCAATTCAGCTATATGTGATATTAATTCTTTCACCTCTTTATCTAAAATAGATTATAAGATTGGTTCTCTCAAACAAAGATTGAAATGAATGCCCATTATATAGAGATTTTCTTTTATTTTTATTCCCACTTTCTCGCCCATGGCCTTTCCATGGCTCCAATAAGCTGGGTATTGAACAAGAAGGAGCAACCTAAACTCCGAAGTAGGAGAATATGGTGGGCATTGCTCAATGTCGTACTACATTCATCCCCTTCCTGCCCATTCTTTTTCTGAACTGAAAGAAGACCAATTTAGTCAGAAGCTAGGGAAGACCCATGGTTTCAGGCCATTTCCCAGTTCCAAAATCTGAATTATGATTAGTTAAAACCAGTCATGATCATCTTATTCTGCTTGGCCTTTGGTTGGTTGAAGGATGGCATGTGAACTTGTTTTGGCTAGTGAGATATAAGGTGAAGCCTACAGAAGCTCAGTTTCCCAAATGGAGAGATAAAGTCTCTCAAGAAGATGTTTTTCTCTTCCTCCTTTGATCTCTGTGTAATTGGGAGGTGGTGCCCAGAAGAACAATGAGTGAGAGAAGATAATCACCATGATGTTAAGATGATGAACCAGTAAAATGGAGAGCGCTTTGTTCCCCAAGGACATTGTGAGCTATTGAACCCCTCCAGCAATTACTTATTTCCACAGTTGTTGCTGAGAAAAATGAATTCCTATTTCAAAAATTTATTTTTATCTTCATCCAAGGACATTTTTTTTCATTGCTTTTAGAGAGAATGAGAGAGAGAGAAACATCAGCATGAGAAAGAAACACAGCTTGTTTGCCTCCCATACACACCTGGACCTAGGATCATATGCACCCTGATTGTGGATTCAACATGCAACTTAGGTATGTGCCCTGACCAGGTATCAAACCCAAAAACTTTTGCTTGTGGCTTGGACGACACTCCAACCAACTGAGCCACACCAGCCAGGGCATCAATTACAATTTTTTAAGGCCACTCTGAGTGGCTATTTTTGGTTATGTCACCAAAAGCATTCCTAAGTGGTACATGGTGTAAGTAAACAAAAATGACTTTATTATTCAAGACCATGAACTCTGAAGCCACATTGCCTGGACTCAAACCTAAGTTCTTTCATGTACTAGTTTTATAACTTTGGCTGGGTTAACCTTCCTGTGCCTCAGTTTCTCTATCTGTAAGATAGTAGTACCTACTTCATAGATTGTGCTGTGTAGTTCAGAAGAAAGATCAAAATGTCAGCTTGACTCCTTTATGGGGTGACAGCAATATACAGGTGTCCAGAGTTGTAAAATTGTACCTAATTATTTGTAATAGAAGAATGCAAAATTTCTGCAAAATCTCTATGATAAATTGAAATTACTGTATTTTCAGACCATAAGATTCACCTAGGTTTTAGAGGAAAATAGAAACAAAATTTTGAAGCAAAAAATGTGGTAAAATACTTAATGACATAAATAACATAATATTTCACCAATATAAATATAAACAGAACTCAACAGCAGCATTAACAACCATTATTCCTCCCAAATTTGGTGGGGGGGGGGGAGGTGCATCTTATAGTCCAAAAAATATGTATATCATTTTAAGTAAACTTGGATTAGGAAATGGCTTGTACATTTTTTTCAATCCTTCTCATATTTATTATGGCCAAGTATAAAATTGTTAATCTCTGAGATAGCCTAAAATTAATGTTTGGGATCTTTTGTTCTCATAAAACAAAAGGGCAGAGTTATTTCACATGGAAGTCTTAGGCTTACTCCACCCTAAAGAGTGGAGCATGCCTGCTTTGTTACTGTAGTTCCAAACAAGTTCATATTTCTTTTTTTAAATATTTTATTTATTTTTGGATAGAAGAGAGGGGAGGGAGAGACAGAGGGAGAGAAACATCAATGTGTGGTTGCCTCTTGTGTACCCCCTACCAGAAACCTGTCCTGCAACCCAGGCATGTGCCCTAGTCTGGGAGTTGAACTGCTGACCCCTTGATTCACAGACCAGCACTCAATGCACTGAGCCACATCAGCCAGGGCAAGTTCATGTTTCTTTATGTGACAGCCTTTTCTCTCAATATGTATTATTCCTTCCTAAATTTCTATTTTTTTAGAAATTTTTTCTAACTCTGAGTTTGCATTTCTGCCTATGTTTCTTATGGTTGTATTCTTATTAAAAAGATTAATCAACAAACAACAATTTATGTTAGTGAGGTATCAGGAGAAATACAAAGGAAGCACAGACACCAGTCTTGCTTCTTGCTGGTTATAATCTTGTACATCAGGGCATGAAGTCACACAATGTTCTACTTTTAAAGGTGGGTTTATTAAGCATGACACATTGGACATTTATATCATGGTTGACCAAAAAACTCAGAGGTCTTCCCCTGCCATTTCTGATGAGCAGATGGTTACTTGAGGAGAACAAGGCAAAGATGCATTTAAACTTGGTGCTCATGAGTTAACTTGAAATTGTCTCTTGTTGGGCGTCTGGCTTCCAACTCCAAGTGAGTTGTACTTTTCTGTCAAATAACCCTATGGCAATGGAGTATTAAGAGATAATCCAACATTCTCTCTGGGGTTGTGTCCTTCTTGACTCAGAGGAGAAAGGTAGGTCTGGATTTTGCCACAGTTGGGAATATGGGAGCAATCACAGCCAGCTCCTCCAGGCTGCTAATCTGCTTGGGTGTCATTTGCTTCAGGCAAAAACAAAGATTAATTAACCCCCCATGTAGTGCATGGCATTGGATTAAGAACTCACCACAGTCATCACAGGATTTTAACACCACACTGTCAACAATGGATAGATCTTCCAAACAAAGAATCAACAAGTATATTGTGGCATTGAATGGCACTCTAGATCAAATGGACTTAATTGATATATACAGAACCTTTCACCCCAAAGAAGCAAAATATACATTCTTATCAAATGCACATGGAACATTTTCCAGGATAAACCACATGGTAGGACACAAAACAAGCCTCAACAAATTCAAGAAATTGAAATCCTACCAAGCATGTGCTCAAATCATGACTTGAAACTAGAAACCAGTCTCAGGGAAAAAACGGAAGGACTTCTGGTCAAGATGGAGATGTAGATAGACATGCTTTGCCTTCTCACACAGCCACAGAGAGAATTACAACTAACCTCAAAACAAATAACATTCAGAACTGTCATATAATCTGTAAAATCGAACAGAAAGTCTGGCAACCAAGGATTTAAAGAAGCCACATTCATCCAAATGGGTAGGAGGGGTGGAGTTGTGGAGTGGTGCAGAGAGGAGGTGGTGATGTGCAATTGGTAGTCCCACATTCACATGTGGTAGATAAAAGCTGGGAGGGAAACCTTGGGGGCAAGTGATCCCAGCCCCAAGGCACACTACACAGTACAGGGTTCCAGGGCTGAGAAAGTCACATAAATTCTGGCTGTAAAAATCAGTGTGGGTGGGGCAGTGGGAAAAAATGCCAGCTTTTCAGGAGACTTCACTTAAAGGGCCTACATGGTCTTAGAATATATACAAACCCACCTGGTGTGGGATTCACCACTAGGGTGAAAGCTGGAAGAGTTCCAGTCACTTATGGGGAGTGGGTGAAGTGACTGAGAATGAGGCGAGTGCTGAACAAACCTCAAGAAGCACGGCAGTGGCACTGTTCCCTCTCTGAGCCCTCCCATCATACAGAACCACAAATCAGCGAAGCAGGTTTTCCAGCCCTGGTGATTACCTAAGGCTCTACCCCATGCAATTTATAGGTGCCTTTTCTATAATAGGTCACACTACTAAGACAGGGAGTCAAAGCAGCTCTACCTAATACACAAAAGCAAACACAAGGAGGCTGCCAAATTGAGGAGACAAAGAAATATGGTCCAAATGAAAGAACAGAACAAAACACCAGAAAACTAAATAAAATGGAGACAGACAACCTATCAGATGCAGAGTTCAAAACACTGGTGATCAAGATGCTCAAAGAACTCACTGAGTACAGCAACAACATAAAAGAAGAAATGAATGTTGCACTAAGACATGAAGAAAAATCTGAAATAAAGAAAAATCTACAGGGGATCAACAGTGAAGGGGAAGAAGCTGAGATTCAAATTAATGATTTGGTACATAAAAAAATAGATATTCAACCATAGCAGAAGAAACAAGAATTCAAAAGATGAAGGTAGTTTAAGAAGCCTCTGCAAAATCTCCAAATTTACCAACATTCGAATCACAGGGATGCAAGAAGGAGAAGAGGAAGAGCAAGAAATTGAAAACTTATTTGAAAAATAATGAAAGAGAACTTCCCTAATTTAGTGAAGGAAATACATATACAAATTCAGGAATCACAGAGAGTCCCAAACAAGTTGAACCCAAAGAGGACCACACCAAGACACATCATAATTAAAATGCCAAAGGTTAAGGATAAAGAGAGAAACTTAAAAGCAGCAAGAGAAAAGAAGAGAGTTACCTTCAAAGAGACCTTGTAAGACTATCAGCTGACTTCTCAAAAGAAACTTTGCAGGTAAGAAGGGACTGGTAAGAATTATTTAAAGTGATGAAAAGCAAGGACATGTAACCTAGATTACTCTATCCAGCGAAGTTATTATTTAGAATGGAAGGGCAAGTAAAGTGCTTCCTAGACAAGGTAAAGCTAAAGGAGCTCATCATCACCAAGCCATTGTTATATAAAATGTTAAAGGGACTAATTTAAAAAAAAGAAGAAGATCAAAACTATGAACATTATAAGGGCAACAAATTCACAACTGTCAAAAACTGAATCTAAAAAAACAAACTAAGCAAACAACCAGAACAGGGACAGAATCATGGTATGGAGATCTTTTGGATGTTTATCAGGTGGCAAAGGGAAGGGAGAGGTGCAAGGTGCAAGGATTAAGAAGTATAATTGGTAGGTATAAAATAGACAAGGAGATGTTAAGAATAGTATAGGAAATGGAGAAGCCAACGAACTTATATGCATGATCCGTGAACATGAACTAAGGGAGGCGGGGATTGCTAGAGGGAAGTGGGTACTGAGCAGAGGGGGCGCATCGAGCAAAAATTGGGAATTGGAACCTGACTGGTGTAGCTCAGTGGCTTGAACCCAGGCCTGTGAACCAAAGGATCATGGTTTGATCTCCAGTCAGGGCACATGCCTGGGTTGCAGGCCAGTTCCCAGCATGGGACACACAAGAGGCAATTATACATTGATAGTTCTCTCCTTCACTCCTTCCCTTCCCCTCTAAAAATAAATAAATAAAATCTTTATACAAAAATTGGGAACTATAATAGCATAATCAATTAAATATATTTAAAATATTTAAAAACTCAAAACCATTCAAATACATGGAATTGAATAACATGTTATTAAATAGTGAATGGGTTAACAATGAGATCAGGGAAGAAATAAAAAAGTGCTTGAAAACAAATGAAATTGAACACACAGTGACCCAAAAGCTATGGGACACAGTGAAGGGAGTCCTGAGAGCGAAGTTCATAGCAATAAAGGCTTACCTAAGGAAGACAGAAAAATATAAAATAAACAACCTAACCCTATCTCTACAAGAGCTAAAGGAACAGCAACAAAACCCATAGCAAGTAGAAGGAAGGAGATAAGATTGGAGCAGAATTAAATGGCACAGAGATGAAAAGAAAACAAAACAAACAAACAATAAAACAAAGCATCAATAAATCCAGAAGCTGCTTCTTTGAAAAGATAAATAAAACTGACAAAACTTAACCAGACTAATCAAGAAAAAAAAAGAGGACTGCAAATAAATAAAATCAGAAATGAAAGAGGAGAAGTTACAACCAGTACCACACAAGTACAAATGATTGTAAAGTATGACTATGAACAACTATATGCCAAGAAATTGGAGAACCTGAGCACAAGGGACAAATTTCTAGAAACATATAATCTTCCAAAACTGAATCAAGAAGAAGCAGAAAGCCTGAATAAACCAATAACAGCTAGTGAAATTGAAGCAGTAACCCAAAACTGGTACACAAAGCCCTGGACTAGGGCTTCACAGGTGAATTTTACAAAACATTTAAGGAACTAACTCCTATCCTTCTCAATCTATTCCAAAAAATGTAAAAACAGGGAAGACTCCCAAACTGTTTTTATAAGGCCAGTATTATCCTAATTTTAAAAAGAGGTGAAGACACAACAAAGAAAACTACAGGCCAATATCTCTGATGAGTATAGATTCTAAAATCCTCAACAAAATATTGGCACTCTAGATTCAGCAATACATTAAAAAGATCATACACCATGATGAAATGGGATTCATCTAAGGCATGCAAGGATGGTACAATATCCCCAAATCAATAAAGACAATATAGCACATAAAAAAAGAAAGATAAAAGTCATCTGATCATATCAACAGATGCTAAAAAAGCATTTGATAAAGTGCAGCACCCATTTATGATAAAAACACTCAGCAGAATGGGAATAGAGGGAGCACACCTCACCATAACAAAGGCCATGCACGAGAAACCTATAGCCAACATTATACTCAACAGACAAAATCTAAAAGCTTTTCCCTTAAGAACAAGAACAAAACAAAGGTGTCCACTTTCACCACTCTTATTCAACTGGAAGTTCTAGACACTGTGATCAGACAAGAAAAAGAAATAAAAGGCATCCAAACTGGAAAGGAGGAAAGAAACCTGTTATTATTTGCAGATGACACGATAGTATACATAAAAAACCCTAGAGTCTCCACCAAAAAATTACTCAACCTAAAAAGTGAATTTGGCAAAATATATGGATACAAAGTATTTAGAAATCAAAGGCTTTTTTTATACCAACAATGAAATACCAGAAACAGAGAAGAGGAAAAAAATCCTATTTACCACACCAATAAGAAAAATAAAGTACCTAGAATAAATTTAACCAAGGAGATAAAATATCTTTATTTGGAAAACTATATAGAACTAAAGAGAGAAATTGAAGAAGATACAAATAAATGGAAGCATATACTGTGTCCATGGATTGGAAGAAGTAACATCATTAAAATATCCATAATACCCAAAGCAATCTACAGATTCAACATAATTCCTATTAAAATATTGATGACATATTTCACAGATCTAGAACAAACATTTCAAAATTTATATGGAACTAAAAAGACCCCAAATAGCCTCAGAAGTATTAAGAAAGAAAAACAAAGTAGAAGGGATCACAATACCTGATATCAAACTATACTGCAAGGCCACTGTAATCAAAACAGTCTGGTACTGTCATAAGAACAGAGACATAGATCAATGGAACAGAATAAGGAGCCCAGAAATAAAGATTATGTCTCTATGGTCAATTAGTATTTGACAAAGGGGGCATGAGCACACAATAAAGTAAAAATAACCTCTTCAATCAATGGTGTTGGGAGAACTGGCCTGGTACATGCAAAAAAATGAAACTAGACCACCAACTTACACTATATATCAAAATAAACACAAAACGGATAAAATACTATGTAAGTTGTGACACCACAAAAGTCCTAGAGGAAAACATAGGCAGTAAAATTTCAGATATCCCACATAGGAATATTTTTGCTGATGTATCTCCCTGGGCAAGGGAAACAAAGAAAAAAAAATAAATGAATGGGTCTAAATCAAATTAAAAAGCTTTTGCATGGCTAAAGAAACCACCACCAAAATGAAAGGGAACTGACCATATGGGAGAACAAATTTGCCAATGATACATCAGACAATAGTTTGATCTCCAATATGTATATAAAGAATTTATGTGACTCATTCCAGTAAGCCACTAGGAAGACAAAAATCCAATTAAAAAATGGGCAAAGAACCTGAATAGACACTTCTCCATGGAGGACATACAGATGGCCCATAGACATATGAAAAGATGCTCAACATCACTAGCCAACAGGGAGATGAAAATTAAAACCACAATGAGGTATCACCTCACACCTGTCAGAATGGCTATCACTAATCTATAAACAACAAGTGCAGAGAAAAGGTAACCCTAGCACACTGTTGGTGGGAATGCAGACTGGTGCAGCCACTGTGGAAAACAGTATGGAATTTCCTCCAAAAACTAAAAATGAAACTGCCTTTTGATTCAGCGATTCCACTGCTGGGAGTTATACCTAAGTATCCTGAATCACTAATTCAAAAGAACTTATACACCCCTGTGTTCATAGCAGTGCTATTTACAAAAAGCCAAGTGCTGGAAACAGCGTAAGTGACCATCAGTAGATGAATGGATTAAAAAACTGTGGTACATTTATACAATGGAATACTACATAGCAGAAGGAAAGAAGGAACTCCTACCTTTTGCAAAAGCATGGATGAAACTGAAGAATATTATGCTAAGTGAAACAAACCATTCTGTGAAAGACAAATACCATACGATCTCACCTATAAGAGGAATCTAACAAACAAAATAAACTAATGAACAAAATAGAACCACAGACTTGGTTCTATTGGCATGGAAACATGGAACAGACTGCCAGTGACCAGAGGTGGGGGGATAATTGTTGAAAGAAGGGGAAGGGACAAGTTTAAGAACATGTATGAATGACTCATGGACATGGACAACAGTGTGGGAATGGACTGTGGGAGTGGAGGGTGGGATGGGCAGAGTAGGGCAAAGAGGGAAAATTGGAACAACTGCAATAGAATGACAAAAAAAAAAGAACCCAGATTATGCTGAGGCTATGACTCTAGGCTTCAATTTCATACTTTTGCCCTAGGTAACAAAACATTCACAATGACATCACTCTGTTTAGATTCAAAACTCCCTTCTGCCTTCTAATTCCATAATGCTCTGATGATGTCTAAGAAAACAATCATTCCAGTAAGCCAACATTATGTATCCTGTCCTCTGGCAATGGGGTCCAAGTGTCTGATGAATCAGGGGAGAAGAATTTAAATATGCTAAAACCACCTCCGTTTGAAATCCAGTTACTTGAAACCAGATATTAGTAGATAAAATCACTATATGTGAGGATCAAAAGGTAAATGTAGTGATCACCTTGATGGTTGTTCTCAAATGTTAGGATCTACCTGAATTACTTGGAGGGCTTGTTGAACACAGATGAATGCCCAGAGTTTCTGAATCCACAGGTCTGGGGTGGAGTGCAAGATAAGTGGATAAAAAAGCACTGGTACCTTTATGCTGTGGAATACTACTTGGCTGTAAAAAGAAGGAAATCTTACCCTCCGCAACAGCATTGATGGAACTAGAGGGTATCGTGCTAAGTGAATTAAACCAGTCAGAGAAAGACAAGTACCATATAATTTTACTCATATGTGTAATATAATAGATAAAATAAACTAACAAACAAAATAGAAACAGACTCAGAGATAGAGAACAGGCTGACAGCTAATGGGGAGAGGCATTGGGGGCTGGGTGAAGAAGGTGAAGGGATTAAAAAAAACCCTCATAGATTCAGATAACAGTATGGTGATTACCAGATGGAAAGGGAATTGGAGGGAGGTAGAAGGGGTTAAAAGGGGGATAAATGGTGATGAAAGGAGATTTGACTTGGGGTGGTAAACACAAAATACGACATATAGATGATGTATTATAGAAGTGCACACCCGAACCTGTATAATTTATTAACTAATATCATCCCCCCAAATTCAGTGCATAAGAATAAAAAATTAAAAAAAAAATTTGCTTTGCTTACAGGTTCCCAGGTGAGGTTGATGCTCCTGGGCCCAGCATCATCCCTGAGAACCTCAAATTTGGAGAACTTCTGCACTTTACAATTAGGAAATTGGAATGGAGAAATTGATGGACTGTCTAAGGTAATTCAAAAAACCAAAGAGCTGAAACTAAATTCAGTTTTGGCTTTTTTTTGAGTTGGGTTCGGTTCATTATTCTTCATTCTGCAATACTATGTATTTGCTTAGAAACAATAGGACATTAGAGATCCCAAATCTTTGCTTTTTCATTAGGTGACTGTAGACTCTGGGAAGTCATGTAACCTCTTCATGGTTTTAGTTTCCTAAAATGGGATAATAGTAGTAATAGAACTATAGGACTTACCAGATAGAGTAATTGTGGGGTTAACATATAATAATTTATAGTTCTTAGAATCATGCCTTAGAAACTGCTATAATTGTTATAGTTGTTATTATTAAATATTAATAATTTCCAGTCAATTTGAACATATATTAGCAAAGTTTCACTTCATCTGGTCAAACTGGTTGGAACAGGATAGTAAAGGTGACTAAGGAAAAAAATATTCAGAATGTGACTAATCCTAGAGAAGGTGATTTAATATAATTAGATTTTAGATCTAAATTATCTACTCCATCCCTCTCTTCCTATGTGGGGAACAGAGAAATCATGAAGAGATTAAGTGACTTGTCCAAGCTTTTATAGCAAATTAGTAACACTGCCAGTTCTAGAATTCAGTTTAATTCATCACTTTCTTAGTCTATGCAGTATTTTGAGTGTAGCATCATGGTATTCATTTATAGATTTGTCTTTATTGCCTATTTCTAGGGATGTAGTTGAATTGTATAGTTGACAACAGACCACTATTCAATATCCTATTCAATATCTTTGCTTTGTGTGCCTTTTTCCTGAACCCCACCCCCCTTTTTTGGTTATTGTTCCTGCATAGGGTGAAATGAAATGACTTTATTTCCATTATGTTCTAAGGATACTCAGAAGAGTATTTGAACCTACCAGTTATTCTATACGTTCTCCCCTGTCTCTGTTGTCTTGAGATGAGTCAAAACCACTGAAAGCAAATCACTGTTCAACTTAAAAATAAGGATTCATTTAAATGATCTAAATTTCATTTTGGACAGTATAAGGTTAATAGTGATTAGAAAAAGAATTCCAGCAGCCCACAAATCTAAGCATAATTATGTATGAACATGAGGCTTTTATTGCTGTCAAAATTAATCACTTTTCAACTTCCAGCTGTTAAAACCCTTCTGGCTGCTCTCCAAGCAATTCCCCTACAGTTACTTTTCCTTCAATTAAATTCTGGTGTAGTTCTCAGGCTCCTGTTACATAAGCAGCAATTTAAAAAATGAACTTCTTGGGGTATTCTTTTCTTTCTTTTCCTTTCTTTTCTTTTCTGTGTTTTCTTTGTTTTTGCTTAAACCTAGAAAATGACAGAGTATGAAGGTTGCTCCTCTTACTCTTTCAGTTCAACTTTTTCTTAAGCATCAAAACACACAATGTGGGATTAAAGAATTAGTGTTTATTATAAAGCACTTTATGTGTGCATAGTGATTTGTAATAATTTTTATCAGCCCTTTCTCTAGACTGTCCTCCAAGGTAAGCGAATGTTGTTATATTTGCTGTCTACAATCCCATTCACTTTTCTCCCCCAGAAACTTTGCTGGATGTGTAATTTACAAGTCTGTAGCACTGGGTTTAGGCCTCATGTTATGCTACCACTTATTTCTAGGGTACTAGTTACTCTCATCGCTCCTTTACTTAAAGTGCACAGGTTTGTCATGGTGGCAGTAAATCTCGGCCAGCCTCCCATAAGCTCCCGTGGTGAACTGAACTGCCCTGATTCCAAAAGCAACTGTAGGGAGGCTAGTTGAGCTGTGAAGGGCACAGGCCCATGGAAAACTATGGCCATTGTGTAGAGAGTGAGTCCTTAGTGAGATTCAGAAATGGCCCCAGTACATTATTTCAGTTTATGAATGGAAGTGTGTTCACATCTTTGCCTTTGCTTGGCAAGAAACTGAATGCTTGCATACAGATATTGTATTGGAAGTGCTGCCTTTCCATTCTTCACGGCTGGGATTCCAAGTGGTTAGTCCTTCTATCCTTTTTCAGAGCTCTCCAAAGATGAAAGAGGACTAAAGTTTGGCTCTAGTGGGACTGGGAATTCTGACCCCTCTCAGTTCCCCTGTGGTATCATGTCGCAGGTCCTTCGATATTTGAGTTCGGGAGTTGGTTTCATTTCCCCGGCTTGCCTCTCACAGTTCCTTCTGGTGGGTGTACCCTCTTTGAGTCTGGGGTGGAGAGCACCTTCCCTGGTCATTCCTGTAGTTCCTTATACCCGCCTCCTCACCAGTGCTGCTTTATGCTGTTGCTGCGTGTTAAATTCTGTAATGAACAGATGTCTCTCATTTTCAGTCTCTGTAATTTCTATCATCCTCTACTTTCATGCAAAATTAATGTATTTCCAGATGCTGGTTCCGCCCTGAGCCTTTCTCCTGATAGTAGCAGCTGGTACAAGATCTGACACTGGGCAGGGGGGTACGAAGATGTCTTTGTGGCAGAGATAAAAAAATGTAGAGGTCTTGTATGTCAAAGAAAAAGTGAGAATGCATCAAACACCTTGTCATGCCTCTCCACTGGTTGTGAGCATGCAGTTCTGTGCTCACTCCATGATGCCGTTGGGAAGAGAGACTGCAGCCGCAGGGGAAATCTTCATTCCGTTATCATCATCCTTACTCTAAAGTGGTTCGTCATTAAAAACGTGGACTTTGCCAACCACAGCCAGTCTGGACTTTGGACACAGAGCAAGATTCCATGTCCAAACAGGAGTCCTGCTGGTCAGTGGACTGGGAGTCGTCTGTGGGACTTGACTGCAGCACTAGTCCCCACAGGCCCCCTTGGTTGACAATAGCCTGCTGGTCTAATCCCGTCTGTACTCATACTCAGCCCAAGAAAGTGGCTTAAGGCCTGAGCTCTTGGCAGGAATATGGAGAATATGGAGATTACTTCTCTGAGAAGTAATCAGATTATCTGCTTCTTTACTGTAGTTTATACTGCAGTGAAAAATCTGTGTCAACCTCTCTCCGCCCTTTCATAAATTAGCCAGTCAGTGTGCTCTAGTGTGACTGAGTTGATTTCTTCCAGTCAGGGTCATTTGCTTAAACCTTCGAGCCTGACTGGATGGCCTAGAGTGGACTGAGTCAGGATTCAGACCTGCTCTGACTTTGACAATCAGAAGCTGAAGACTCTTCTATTGGGAAGCTGCTGAGATATCCAAGGTGTAGGTCATGTTGCAAGGGCCAAGGCCAGGAAGGACTGCAGTTGTGCCCCTCTGTTTGGCATTTAATGGACTTTCTCTTGGTGGGGCAGGGCATTCTTACAAGCGCCACATGCATAGTCTTTGTTAATTGGCTTATATAACTTATGCATGGACATTGTTTTCCAGTATAAACACCTTGCTCGTACTTTATATGTTTGTTTCCTTAGTTTGATACTCCATGGGTGGGTTGGCAAGATTCGGTATTCTCTAGATCTTCAGATTCTATGATTCTAACTCCAAACATCTCACCAAATTCTACCCAGAAGTAATTAAAAACAAATATACATGCAATCAACAAGTTGGGGAGAATTCTGTTTGGAATTAGAGTCACTTTGCAGTTGGCAAAATATAGTTACACTAATTTATATTGCTCTTATTCCATCTGCTTTCTAGTTTAAAATGTCCTGGATTGCCTCAGACTCTGTATATGCAATATTTTCCATTTACTAAAATTTTCTGCATAATCCATTTTATTTTTCAGAGAGCTTTTGAAAATGATATTGGTTAGTTTCAAATTTGCAAAGTCCAGTTTTATGTGATATGAATCCCGAGCGTATGAACGGATAATAAAGCCCAAAGAGATAACCAAGGGAAACTTTTAGAAATAAAATGTCTGTGCCAGGGCCTCAGTGCAAATTATGCCAGCAAGTGGATATCTTGGAGCAGCTGGTCTTTGCATTCTCAAGTTCTTCTAAGGCCTTTCTCTCACCACCCCGTTTGTGCTGAAATGCACGCTGCCCACATGCCTCTGTGGAACTGCTTTATTTTGAGCCGTGGAGGCATGCGTGTTTATAAATTTGTTTCTCCACTACTTATTTATGAAAGGGGAATACATTATAAGTAAAAATGTTGAAGATTACAGGAAAACAATACTGCATTAAAAAAAACTTTGATGTGTTGACATGACTTTACCATACCAGTTACAGAAAGTTCTGATTCTGGGCATTGTCGAGGGGAGAGGGTGGTAGCTGCCCACCAGGATCTGGCACTTCCCCTGTCTGTTCATTTGCCAGCAGTTACACTCACCCACTTCTGTTTTGAGCAGTGGGGAAGGGCAAAAGGGATGGAAATCTCAGAGTGAGGGGACTCATCAGTTCTAGCCGTACTGTCTGATCAACTTAACTGATCAGTAGGTTTTCTGAAGACAAATTGGTAGGTTCTTTTCATGGTAACAGGCATTGTTTAGAAGACAAAGAATTTGAAGTTGTTGTTTTTTTTTTTTTTTTTGGTCTGGAAGTGTTAGCAAGGATTTTCTGTTTTGTATCTTTGAGCCTATGGCACCATTATTTAGTTTAGTGTTTATCCTAACACTAAGCTTGGCCCTCGCAACATTTGAAGGCACAAAATTGTCTTCAAATTAATTATAACAATACTTTACGTTCCATTTTCTAGTTTCCATATTTTTATAAAAGTTTAATACTCCAGATGAGCAATACTTAATTGGAGCCAGAAGAGAAGGTATGTTTATTTGATTGTCGTGGGCATGTAAATGAACTTGTCCAGGGTCATAAGGCAAATTAGTGGCAACATGGGAACTAGATCAGAGTCTTCTGAACCCTAGTACAGAGCTCTTTCCATCTAAGAAGGCAGCATTTAATGATTGTCATTAACCAGTGATGTCCTTCATGAAGATGGTTCCATCTGTGCTTGAAGTGGGAGGTTCCTTGAGCTTTCTTAAGTAGACACTCCACGTGGCTACTCAGTTGTTCTTTAGTTTGTCAGGATAGCATCTGTTTGCAATGACATCTGTCATTCCTACTTTGCCTGTTGGATTTTCTGGATAATCCACAGCTTTTGCTGAAAAGGAACCTGCATGTGACCTATTTCTGGAGCCTCACTGGTCTGCCAGTGGCACTCAGGTTTCAGAGGTAGCTGACTACTTTGAGTTGCTTGAAGCTGTGCTTCCAGGCACTTGGGAAGTGCACTTATGGCCTCACAACAAGCACCCACCCTAGCACTCTGTTCAGAAGCTGCCCAGTTATTGCTGTCCTCTCTGCCCCAGCTCAGCTCCAGGTGAGGTGTTCAGGGATGGGCTCTGCTCCTCTCCTGACAGTCAGGCTTCATTCCAGGAACTTTCAGTGTTTCTGCTATATTGCCTGAAATTCTGAAAGCTTCAGAGGTGAGCTGGTTTAAAAGGGTGATTGTGGAATACCTCAGTTGTGCTCACCTACTGAAACAGGGTAGATTTTCCTGCTTTTGACCGTTGTAAGGAGCTTGAAGCTGGGTTAAATGCTACAGCCACCAAAAGGATGTGCTAGGTTTTGTGAAGGTGCAAAGAGTAGAAGAGACCATCATTAGTTTTTAGACAGGGTTTTGCTAAACCCTGTCTTCCAGTTGCCAGAGTTTAGTAAGAATGTCCAAGGGTATATGTGGTTTCTTTGCAATTTAAAGTCAGTTGCTAGTTAATTGACATATAAGCCTCTCTGGAAAGAGCCCTTCCTGTTGGCTTTTAGAAATGTGCCCCGGTTTTGTACGTCAGGGAAAGTTTCTAATCAGGCATGATTTATCTTAAGCTCTGCTCAATCTCCATTTCAAAGGCTTCTTCTCCACTTTCTATGTCTTTTCTGCTCCCTCATAGGCTCTGTACCTCTTAGCTGCTCACTATTACCTGCTGTGCAGCCCCACCTCGGCCTACCTTGACAGCACCTCTGCACCGCTATTGGACACATTTCCCGCTCAAAATTCACCTGACCCGCCTCGTGGCATTCCTTCCCTTTCTGTTTACGATAAGCATTAATTTCCCTTTAAAAAGGAGCCATTATAATCACTACTGTCATCACTACCACATTACAATCATTTCTCCCTCACGTGCATTGAACGCCTACACTTTGCCGAGCTCTGAGGACACACAAAAAGATAAAAAGAATTTCTGCCTTGGGACAGTTTATAGTCTGTCCTCAGGAATGTAAACCTGGAATAAGACAGGAATGTAATCCTGTCTTATTTCTCGAATAAAACACTTAAATATATTCCCACAGGGAAATTATAGGAATATGGTACCTTGGCCAAAAAGTCCATTTAGTTTTTTTCCATAAAATAAAAGACACATTTTTCATTTTCATCAGTAACTTTATTAATTTGGATATTTTGAGTATGTTGGCTATCTCCCATGTGGTATAACATTGATTGTTCTCAATCAATGTCTCAATTTGATCACTATCAACTTGAACTGGTCCACTGGACCATGGAGCATTGTCCAATGGGAAATCTCCAGAGTGAAACTTCACAAACCACTTTTGAGACAATGAGTCACAGCACTTTCTCCATACACTGTACAAATCTTATTTTGCATTTCAGTTGTGTTTTTACCTTTCTTGAAATAATAAAGCATAATATGTCAAAAATGTTGCATATTTTCTTCCATCTTTAATATTAAAATGGCCAAACAAAAATTCACCAATTTTGATATGCTTTTTAAAAAAATGTACACTAATATGACACTTATCACAATATAATCTAACACAGTTGTTTTGAATGAAGTTAAAGACAGCTAAGCAGTACTAGAGCCACCTTACGGAAAAAAACAAACAAACTCCTGGGCAACCCAAAACTTTTGATAGGTCAGTGGGGAGATATTCAGAAGAGGCAGGAATCTTTAAAGTCATATCACATGGTGCTCACTTCAGCAGCACATACACTAAAATTAGAAAGATACAGAGAAGATTAACATGTCCCCTATGCAAGGATGACACGTGAATTCATGAAACATTCTGTATTTTTGAAGCCTAATTGGTAGGAACAAAATAGACAGGGGGATGTTAAGAATAGCATAGGAAATGGAGAAGCCAAAGAACTTGTATGCATGGCCCATGGACATGAGCTGGGTAGGGGATTGCTGGAGGGAAGATGGGTACTGAGGTGGAGGAAGGAAGGCAAAGGGGAAAAATTTGGGACAACTGTAATAGCTTAATCAATAAAATATACATAATTCCTATCATGCCAATGGGTGTTTATAAAAGCCTACCTTTTATCCTGTCTCTCTCACTCCTTCCTGATGACACCGTAGTCACGACAGACGACAAAACCACGTGGAATCAGCTTGTGGGTGGGCTTGTCTGTTGCTGAGGAGATTCTGTGGATATTGCCGAAGCTCATTCTAAATTTCTTTGTTGGGCCCAGAGCACAGCGGAAGTGATGTACATGACTGTCAGACCACAGCCTCCGCCAAGCAGAGGCAAGATACAACAAGGCACACAAAAGCAGAAATCTTCCTGTTTCTGTAACATTTCCAGCTGGAAAACAAATCAGAGCCACACATTCCAGCTATGCTTAGGAAGCACTGAAATATCCAAGTAGTAATCACCTAGGTATGCTAACTACAGCTCCAAATAATTCTGGGGTTGCCAGTGCCATATGCCTTGTAGGCTTCCAATTAACTCTGCTTACTCCTTTCTTTTCTCCATGGTCCAATTATTGGGGAAATTCAGCATGTCTACCCACATCCCCACCCCCAGCCATTCAGAGACAGGTTGTTACATGTTAGAAAGTCTGACCATTACAATAATCCACTAAGCCAATAAAATGCGGGCACTGGAAAAGTTTAGCCCTTGAAGCATGGATGAAAGACTCAAGGTTTATCAATGTGCAGTTTTAGTGCTTAAACTTAGAAGAGACCCAAGGGAAGGATGACCACAAATTTCAGTTTAACTAGGATGCCCCTATTAGTTATTAATATTGCCTCTTTTCTCCCAAAAGTGCTCAGTTTGGATCATAAGTTATATGGTTATTTTGCCTTAAAGATTATCCAGTCCATATTTTAGTTTGGTTCAAATTTCACATTCAGCTCCTTTCTCCTCCCACACAAGTGGTCTTCAGTTTGCTGGTTACATCATTGGTGATGGGGTGCTCTGTGCTTTGCAAGGAGACGTTAATTTGCTGGGGGAGTCTTGTTTGGTGTCCGTGTTTTCCTTCCCCTGTTTGTGTCAATGTTTTCCTTCCCCTAGTGTTCCCTGATTCTAGTTCTGTCCTTTGCAACAATGCAGACCACTTTCTTCTCTTTCACACAATATTTTCCATGTTGGTGTCCTTATGGTGTATTTTTAAAGAACATACTGATGTTTACTTAGATTACTTTTCCCAATATTTGAAATTTCAAAGAACCTTATGTAACTTTGGACTCATATATCTTAAAGAGAAAAGCAAGAATTTTGTTAGGCCTAATCATAGAACCCTTAAGTGGAAATCATGCACCTGTGCTTTGGGATTGTGGATAAAAGATAATTTAGGAGTTGTTAACAAAGTACCAATGCCAGCATTGTTAGTGTCAGTTTCTTTATAGCTTTTATTTTTTTGTGCATACAGGTCAATTATAGTATCTGGAGAATTTTACAGGAAGAACATCAGCGTGGTATGAAGAAATGAGGCTCTCATTAACCTCTGTTCTAAGCTAATGGCAGAAATAGTGTTCACATGCCTAGTTTTTGAAATAATTTTATTTCTTACGATTGTAAAAATAATACAGGATGATTGTTGGAGACTCAGAACATCTCAAAAAATAAAGAAAAACTTCCTACTTGTAATTCCACAACCAGATAGTCTTTCTGTTAATATATTTGCTGTACGGTAATCCCCCCTCATCCACTATTTTGTTTTCCACAGTTTTAGTTACCCACAGTCAACTGCAGTCGGAGAACATTAAATGGAAAATTCCAGAAACAAACAATTTTTAAGTTTTAAATTGCATGACATTCTGAGAAATGTGATATAATCTTGTTCTGCCATGCTCCATCCTGACTAGAATGTGAGCTGTTCTTTTGTCCAGCATCTCCATGACGTACGCTCTCCCCACCCATTAGCCACTCAATAGCCATCTTGGTTATCAGGTGGACCGTCACAATTTCGAAGTGCTGGTCTTCAAATAACCCTTATTTTACTTAACAATGGCCCCAAAATGCAAGAACAGTGATGCTGGCAATTCACATATGCCAAAGAGAAACCATGAAGTGTTTCCTTTACGTGACAAGGTATGTATGCATAGGAAGAAGCATAGTATATGTAGGGGTTTGGTATTTTCTGTAGTTTCCGGCATCCACTGAGGATTTGGAATATGTCCCCTGTGGGTAGGGAGACTACTGCATATCTTTTCACTCTTTTCTATGATTATATACTCAATAAGCACATAATTTAACAAAATTTGAGGATCATATTGATCAATATTATTTTCTCTCTTAGTTTTATATTTATATTATATAAATATTTGCCAACATTAAAAAAAGCTTTATAATCTGATTTTAATAGTTGCAAAACACTCTATTGTATGTATTTTACATTTTCCTAAGATTATTTTAGTGTTAGCCATTTAGATTGTTTTTAACTTCATCAATGCTGTAGGACACATCCAGAAATTCTTGTCAGTCTCACTAATTATTCCTTTAGGATAGACTCCTATGAGTGGGAATTCTGCTTAAAGAATTGTATTAGTCTCTTTAGGCTGCTGTAACAAAATACCATAGATTGGGTGGCCTAAACGACAGAAGTTTATTTTCTCACAGTTCTAGAGGCTGGCAGTCCTAGATCAAGGAGTTGGCTGATTTCATTTCCTTGAGAAAGCCGTCTGCCTGGCTGTGTCTTCACATGGCAGAGAGAACTCTCATGTTCCTTCCTCTTCTTGTAAGGGCACCAGCTCTGTCGGGCTGGGGCCCCTTCCTTAGGACCTCATTGAACCCTTATCTCCTCATAGGCCCTATCTCCAAATACGGTTACATTGGGGATTAGGGCTTCAAACATATTAATCTGGAAGGGACACAAACATTTAATCCATAATGAGAATAACCCCTTTCATCCTCTTGATCTACACATATCAGCTGTAAGTTTGAACCCATTTACAGTTCTACCCATAAGGCAGAGAGAGCCTCTTCCAGCCCTTTCTTCTCAAAGCAGAGCATTATAATTTAAAGAATAAAGAATCTCTCGTAATCTGTTCTTAGAAAAGTTGTAGCTCATTGTTCTAATTTGGGTTTCTTTAATTCCTAATAAGATCAATATTTTTCATGTTTGTATGCTATTCATAATTCTTATTTCATGAATTAACTCTTTAGGCTTTCCATTATTTATCTATTTACCTATTTAATTTGCTTATCAATTTGTATAAACTATTTGTGGAGTAATAATAAACAACGGATGTTACTTAGCATTTACCATGTTCCAGTATTGAGGCCAAGCACATTGCATATAAAATCCCCTTTACTATTCATGAAAACTCCCTGTGTATTGCTTTTAAACCCCATTTTAGAGACAAAAACCTGAAACACAAAGAAATTATGCAGATTTTACATATCAGCAGTTTACAGCTATGGCATCCAAATTACACTTGTGCTCACTGCTTTGGTTCTTCTGTGTGCTGGGCTTGTCTTTGGTCACATGTATGATTTGTAGATTGAATTTCTTTTCTCTGTCTTCTACACATATCGTCTATTACTTTTTGTCTTAGAAAACTTTATTTAAATTACAAAAAAAAAACAAACCCAAACATTTGTTGCTTCCCTCTCCCCTCCCCTGTATTCTGGGAGAGATTTTCAAGTTTACTCACCTGGTTACTCATTTGATTTCCCATTGTCTATGTGACTGTCTTCAGTGATGACTCTGTTTCTCTATTGTAATTTCAGCCTCCTCATTTCACCTAGCAGCCTGCTAATCTGGGCTTTCTGTCCTGAGTTTATCATGTTATCTTTGCATCTCATCATGTTCTTCCAGTTCAGCTTTCTGGCGTTTTGCTCATTTCTGAGAGGCCATATAGTCTTAGATCCTAGTGAAGATACCAAAACATTTCATAATATTTTCCATGGTAAATCATTTTCAAAGGTGTGTTCATCTTCTTGATCTTTTGGATATTGTTTCCTTTCTTTTGAGCTTTGGCACTTTTTCACGGGGCTTGTGTTTAGTTTATTGTTTACTAATCCTTAGATTAAGACAGGTTCCCTGGGGATTCAAGGTTTGCCAGCAGACAGATTTTGTGACTGTTGTGCAGACCTGAAATCTTCTCACCCTGCTGCTTGATTCTCTGAAACGTTGAAACTGAGAGATTTCATGAAATTTTACAAATCCAGCATGCAAGGCTGTCAGATTCCTTAGTCTTTTTTTTCTTACTAAGATAGCTTCAATGTGAGGGCTGTGAGCCCCCTAGGATGCAAACGCATCTCAACTTCCTGCTCATTATTTTCAGTCCAGAGATGTGATAGAGAATTTTGACAGGATGGGAATAGTTGGAGAGGGCAAGATGGAGAACAGATGATTGTCCTTTTGCTCTGATGCCTTAGAAACACTCGTTAATCGAGGCCAGTTATCCATGGTTTTGTTTAGCATTGACCTGGGCCTTGAGACAGGGCAGACCGAGGGGGAAGACCAGGAGCCACCTCACTCTCTCTGACATGTGGGCTTTCTGCTGCAGGACCGCAGCAGCAGCTGGGCCACTCACTGTCTCCCCAAATTGCCTTCCATTCTTTCCATATTTTGGTATCTCAGTTCTCATTTTTGTGCTATTTTTGAGTTTTAATTTTTTAAAAATGTGTATTTATATGTATGCTGAGTGGAAAATTGGGAAAAGTTGAGGCAGGAACTGCTAGCCAGGGACCCTTTTAAAACAGAAGTTCTTCATGTTATTTTAAGGATTTTATTTATTTATTTTTAGAGAGAGAGGAAGTGAGAGAAACATCGATGTGTAAAAGCATCAGTTGGTTGCCTCTTACGCATGCCTCATTGGGGTACTGGACCTGCAACATAAG